TCGTTTGTGTTTTGAGCTTGCGGCAGGGTCCGACGTTGTTCTTATCGACAGTATCGATATATGGACACAAAGAGAAGACTATCGCATCATTATATGATATTCCAAAGGGTACTTATTTCCGTAACCCATTAGGTAATCCACATTGCAAATTTTACTGCCTCCGTTTACCTGAGCTTAAAATTAATGACCGTAATTGCTGTGAGAAGACCAACGTGAAACAATGTATTAGTATTTCATCCTTTTCCTATCTCACCAGCCATTTATCACTGCTGGCGATCTGTAACGGTCTGCTTCGAGTGTAGGTCCCAGTGCTTGGAGAAGTCTAGGGGAAGAGGTATCACTGATTATATTGCAAAACACCTGGCAATATGCCTGACCATGCGTACATATGATGCTCCATCTGGTACGTAGAACGTGATGACTTTTCTATAAAACTTCTATCCATAGAGGGCTTGATCCCCTCACTGATAGGCCTACTTTGAGACTTTTAACTTTACATCTGTAAATATCAATTCAACTGGTGATACAATGAGAGTGCACGATGAGCATGTGTCAAAGAGGGTACAATGAATTTCTTTGGATCCTATCCAAACTGTTAAAAAATATAAGGTAGAAAAGTTCGTAGTGCTCATTTGGCTTGAACAGTCAGCAGGAAATACTTTAAAGTTGTAAAGCAAATAAATAGCAGAATACAAAGGCACGATAAATTGGATTATCATGGTAACTGAGATCTTCCTTAATAGGCGGGCGGTCATCACAAATATTTCCATCGTAATTGAATGCATTCAACTAACGGGAACTTAACGATATCACATGGAGTGAAACCCTCACCCAAGACCATCAAGAGCACCTGGTGCCTCTGAACAATTGAATGGGCTAATCCAAAAGTGATTGGTCTAGCTATTCGCCATGGGTTTGGCATCCTAACCCGAAGGTTCCTGGTTCGAGTCCCCAGGGGTGCACCAAACTTTTGCACTGCTGATGCGTTTCAAACAGGACGAAACAGTTACCCAGTGCTCATCACAAATATTTTCATTTTGTTTAAGTGCATTCAACCAGTGTGAATTAACTAGAAAACATTACACAGTTAGACACAACACCAATCATGATCAAGAGTTTGCCAAGTCAAGTTACTTTTATCGTTTGATTAGTCTAACTAGCTCATAGTCTAAAGGTGAGTGGACGGCGAAATGAATCAGCCCTAATTGATCACCGGAGTGACTGAACCAGACGCATTTGGAAGCAAAGGTCAGGGTTTATCTTTCTCATCCGGATAGCCTCGGCTATTGCTAGAGTGTGCAGGTGAACAGCCTTGCATTTGGTGTGGGGACCATGATAAAGAACTTTGAAAGTGATGTCCGGATTTATTTGATGTGCGGTGTAGACTCAGTGTTCGGGGTTTGAGCCGTTCATTGATCCGGTCTGTACCAATCTTAACCAGCGTGTGTGATGCTCTTCAATAAGGGTTGATAGTTAACGTGCCGTTCCGCTCACATAAAAATGCGCCACAAACCCATCTGAAAAGGTACACAACCACAGATGAAATGAACACCTATAGTGTATCCTTACTTCGAATGTGAACCATAGAAGCACCTCAAAACATGCATCCTCATTTGATGACGATGAATGAATTATTTATTCCTGTATCCAGACGTTAAATTAGAATCTCGCTCATGAAAACTGATGAACAAATCTTTCTCACAGTTTCCATCATCGTTCTCGGTACTTTTTAAATAGGTTCCTTTCGATAAACCGATCCGGGTATCTGATATTACATCATGTTTTTCTAATGAGCTTCAGCTTATCATCTGATACATTTTCAGAGCACAGCGCCGTCGTCCTGGCAACCAAGCAATTCGCTAAGCTTGGTTTCCGTTGGATTATAACGAAAATATTGAAGTTCCGATAATAATTAGTCCAGATCAGCTTCTTGTACGCCTTTCGTTCGATCAGACGATCTTTCATTCTGATAAGAGACACATTCATAAATGGTATAAATTGGTCGTTAGTTTCGCCTTCCATTGTAAAACGTGCTACTTTGTGCGCTTTGTTAAATTTCAATCAGAAGGATGTTAATTCACCGTTAACATCTGTCACGCAACTTGTGTCCTCCACATGTCGGGATTTACGTTCAAAATGAGAATGATTTACTGAAAAAATAATTGTTGCAATGTCAATCAATTAGCCCCTCAACACGACGTTGAAACAAGTTTATTAAATTGTATATACTGGAATATTCGAAGTCTTCAAACCAATTCTCCGGATGATTGTTCAGATTAAACTGTCTAACAACCTGTCACAAGTGTTTTTGAGTTATTCCTTAAGAAATTAGAATAAATTTTATCGGAAGCACACAACACGGTAGATCAACACGTTATTCTCGTCAAAAATTGTAAGTTGAAACAGACATAGCCAGCCCTTGAACTTTTGTCGTTTATATAGTGAATGATATTGAACACACTGGGAAAATAAAATTCGATAGGTGAAACAAGTTATTTTTCGATAAATTCATCAACTGGCCATTTACAATTATATAGGTAGTGCATTTAATATTGTTTGATCCTGTGAACGGTGGATCTTATTACCCTTTATACAAAGCGATGCTACGTGCGTCAACAGTTTGCTTGAGCTTCCCCTTGGTTACGACTTTCTTCCAGTTACCATGCTCGCATCGCTTGGTCGCTTGGCTTCTGGCTATGGTAGAGATAAAGGCTGGACAAAACGCTTTTGATTGCATAGTGGTGGGTCAAACAGTTTGATCGCAGTAGCTTCAGCCGTGCGGATTTAGATGAAAACGGTGAAATACGACAAACGGTTCTGAACGCCCGACTTATGTTCACTTGGTGATTACTTTCTAGTAGGTACTGGCAGATCGCGCTTCTCGCTGTCCTTGTTTCTCCGTATGCTAACCATCGAGGGTGGTGTTCCTTTATTCTATTTGATAATTGTCTTGTTGTCCGGACTATGTAGCTCGCTCCACAGGAGCAAGTAAACAAATAGATGCACATGGATACGGCCTGAGGGGACAATCTGTCTTTGAGATGGAAACGAATTACTGGTGATGTGGAGAAACTGATGCGTAGTGCTGCCGTAGTGTAGGTTCTCCTTAGCGTTTGGTTTATTGTTCGTGTGATTCAGTCTACCGCCTTGTCGCCCTTGTACGGTAATTGTAGGTACAGGGGATGTCTGCCTGCTGTGCTCACTTCTGGTTTCTTTCTTTTATCTGTTAGGTGTTTGTCAAGGAAGCGATCCGGATAGCAATTCTCTAGCAAGATGTTTCTTTTTGCTTCATTTCGTAAATTAGAGTGTCCGGAATGTGCTCGTCTCGCTAGGCAGTGAACCAAGTTTCATTTTCGTTCAGTTGGTGCGAAACTATTGAAATTAATGTAGTATCCTGCCTAATGTTGCTTTCCTGTGGACGTTCCGGCGGTTAGATCCATCTGGGTTTCTACGAATAAAGACATCTAGAAACGGGAAGCAATCGTTCGTTCCTTTTACGACAGTAAAGTATATGGATCGATGAGCATTGTTAAATGATGCCAATATTCGGTCCAAGTCTCCATTTCCATTTTCATTATTAACGAGGGATATATCATCCATGTATCTGCGGTTTATTTTCAAATTCTCTATGATCGGTTAGGGGCTGGTGTTCTCTAGCTTACCCATGAATATATCAGCCAGAAGTGGACCCAAAGCTGAACCCATAGCGATTTTATCTGTTTGCCTGTACACATGATTCTTCAAACGAATCGTACATCAAAAGTGCATCGGATTAATAATTC